GATTTTTAGAAGGCGATTTTTGCAATCCAACTGGAATTGTTGAAATGTATGACCCTTCACAAAATAAGTGGACCACCCAAAAACCCTTGGCTCATGCTAGAGGAGATGGTGCTGCAATCATGATTGACGCAAATTTATTTGTCCTAGGTGGAGAGACGAAGGATAAATCATGCAACTTTTCTGTTCCCGTTGCTGATGTTGAGAAGTTTGACTTGCGTACTTCGTCATGGAGTGATTTTGTTTCTTTGCCAACAGTACGATTTAGACAAACAGGAGAAATTTTCGGCGAGGTTATGTATGTTTTTGGAGGTCAAATTGAGAACTCTACTGCTAAGGAATACACTGTTTTGGACTGGGTTTATGCTTTCAATTTCACAAATGTCACATATGCGAGAGTGAGTCAGGCAAACGTTGCCACTCCGTTTTGGTGGTGTGTGTTTACATTACTGCTCTGTGTAATGGTGAGCTTGTTAGGTTTTTAAAGTTTGCAATAACGAAACCTTTACTGATAAATCCGTATTCTGTTAGCACCTCGTTCACATACCAATAATTCTCCACTACGATCGTTTAAACATAAGCCTTGAGGACGTGCAAAATTGTGAACATCAACCTTGTTAATCAATGTCCACTCCAGATGTGTACTTTCAAATAGACGATAACAAAGGACTGTGTCTTGTGTTGGAACAATTAGGCAGCGAGAAATAGGATCAAATACGGTGCCGTATGTATTAGAACCAGATGAATGGATCAGGCCAGCATTATTTTGCAAGCAACTCCATGTTTCCTGGCACACATCAACTTGTTTAACAAAAAATTCAATTTTCTTCCATCCTCCAACGATTAGATAATGATTTTTGCCCATTTCAAAAAAATTAATCCCTAACGGTAATGTATTCATCAACGCTACCACATCAATCAATGTTCCAGTGTTTGAGTCCAATATCTTGACTGTTCTATCGAAGCATCCGACGAACAGTTTTGATTGAGATTGCATTATTGATATTCCAGTAGCTCCTTGAACACAAACAGAAGTCCAAATTTTCCCTTGGAGTGGTGACTCTTCATCACAGTCGCTATACTCTTGATCACGTTGCTTATTGAACACAAAACTTTGTAAATCATACTTGTGGAGACTTTTATCTCCTTTGCAGTCAAAGAACAAAGCATCTGAAAATGCGTTTCTATAGCCTTCTTCAATACATAAAAACATGGGACCATAAGATGGGGTGGGTATTGAAAACTGGAATTGCTTAGAGTTCAGGTCGAAAAATAGTATTCTGCCGGGATCTCCGCAATCAGTGCAAATTATGTACTCGTGATTGTACGAAATTTTTACATCAAAGGGCTGGGATAAAGGAGCGTTAACTAATTCAATATTGGTCATTGTTGTATGATGGTCATCATGTTTTCCCAATATTGCTCTCAATCTACAACTGTGTACTGCGAACCCTTTTTTCCATTTACTCCTCATCTTGGTCTTTAATTTTTCAAACAAGATATATCCATAACGGTCATCATCACGTATGTATATTTCGGGTGATGATCCAACACAATTTTTTAAAATTAATTTTACAGGATCATCATCGTCATATTGAACAACACTATTACTCCGGTTGTAAATCCCCTGGCTAGATTTTAACATAATTTTTTGTTGTTGGCAGTGGTATTCCGCGGCTTGATTCAAACCTGATTATAAAACCACACGAGCAGTTTCAGAATGCATTTTTTAAATTTTAGAATTGAATGTTGTTTTGAGGTCTTTTGACTTGATCAAGGCTTCTTCATATTGACATCAAATCTTCTTCTGAAACAATGACACCTCCCAGTTGTAGGACCCCACACCCACAAAAAAAACAACACAATAACCTCTGGGTTCTAGCAAACTCTCGCTTTTTCGAACCTCAGGTAACATCATCAAGAATCTTGCTGTCGTCATGCATCATGAACCCTTCAACATCATCACGAATGAATAACATTCCGAGCTCCTCCTCTAAAGCAGCTGCTTCAAGAAACAGCATACCTGTTGATTCCAGTAGTAAACAAATCTCGAAGGCCATTCTTTGTTGATGAACAAGCAACAGAATAATCTAAACAAGAAGGAGGTGTTTACCATAATTCATTCAAGCTGTACCTTGAGTTATGCACCATATTGGAGATGTATGTTTTCTTTGCGTTGCCATAGTACCATACAGAAACTTTTAATCTTTAATATTTACACCTTTCACAATTTCCTCCTACAGATTACACTTTTGTGGATACTTCCTCTTGCTTTTCAGAGTTATTCATGGATTGAATATTGAAGGTGCCTGGCTCCTTCTTGTCTTGATGTTGAATAGGGCCCTTTTTTGTTCCTGTTTTTCTCACATGATCCTCAGCCTCTTTTTCACACTTTTCATTCCACAATGGGCTGTACAATAACAATACAAAAACACTAAAAATGACAATTCCCAAAGAATGCAAAAAGTAATCCAACATATGCAAATGACTTGCAAAGGTACTTGTTAAAAAACCAATAATAGCTGCTACTATCTGTAAAAAGGCGCTCAAAATCATTCCAGACATTAATCCAACTATTTTGGTGAACGGGCGATTCATGAATGGAACTTTCTCCTTTGTTGTGGATACATGAGAACTTGTTTTGTTGACAACATGAAGCAGTCGAGTACTGACAACCGTGAAAGTCACTAAATTAATGACATTGGCAATAAAGTAGAAGCATAAAAGCACGATTTGAAACGGGACTGCTAGGGCTTTGTTAAGAAGTGTCATTTTCACCAACAAGTTCAAAATGGCATTAAGAACAATCACTAGCCCCAAAGTACCACCCGTGACCATGTTTACGGTGAAGAGTGACCACTTAATGTAGGGATATACTTTCCTTGATATGGCTCTAGCTGCTGCAGCTGTTGTCAAGCTGTAAGAGGTTGTCAACAATGTTTGCAAGACAAGAGTAATTTGGCGGACATAATAAATGAGTCACCTTTCGAATTTTATCCAAAGTACAATCTACTTACAACATATCTTGAAGAAATCCAATGATGATCGTAATGGTCATTATGGTAGCAAAAGAAAAGGCATTTTCCAGTACTGCAAATACCCATAACACAATTCGAAAATCGAGCAAATTGGGAAGCACAATCCATTTCCTTCCATTCATATAGAGAGATGTTCCATTGTACACAATTCGGAAACACAAAGCAACAATATCCACTCCAACCAATAATCCAGTTAGTAAAAAGAGAATCTTTTGCTTTCTTTTCATTTCATCTCGTAATTTGATGGCATAACCAATAAGCACTCCCAACAAGATGCTCAATACAATGACATAGAACGCAGAATTACTGAGAGAGCTAATGTTTTCAGGGGCTTCGGAAATTTTACCTTGAGTGGCGTTGATGGTTTGGAATAGAGTAATGGGAAGGAAATTATATGACTCAGTCATTGGGCCTTGAATTGAAATTCTTTAGTTTTTTTGGTTCAGTTGCGGTTGCTACAAGATTGATTTGATTTCGAAAAACATCTCCTTATCTTTGTCTCTTTCATCATTGACAAGATTTGAATTGCATTACAGAGCTATTAGTGAATAAATGCAGAAAGATCTTTTCTGATTTGTCTTGATATCTCGTTTAAAACAACAACCGTTGAAAGTTTGGGATATATCTTTCTGAAAACTCCTTTTCTGTTTGAAAATTGTAAAACAGAGAGGTATGAACATGTCATGGATGTCTAATGGTAGGTTTAACCTCAATGTTGACTATGTCATGATTGGGATATATTCTCTGAAAAAACATTGTTCTTCCACCACAATATTCTATGTATGAACACTGGAATTTGCATGTCGTTCCTGCTGTTGGAAAAGTATGGATATGAAAAACCAAAGACAGTTGATCATTGAGAGATACTACTTATTTATCCTTAGTAACTTAGCATATTACCCGCTTTTTTAAAATATGGAAGTGTTTTCGGTTTTCGAAAGATGTGAAACGGAGATATGAACCAGTAGACGCGAGACAACAATGTTCCAAGAAAGGGAGGCATATTTGTCATCATCAGAAATGTCTTCATTGACATACGTTTTCTTGCTCCACAATCCTCTTCTCCTTCAACATTGTCATCATTGCTGAACGATGAATTTTGGAAATTGGAGTGCATTGTTGCTTATTCTGCAAGGCAATAATCAATACTTGAGTACATAATTGTCCTTTTGAAAGAATCTTAACTCCATTAATTCGCTAATAAACACTTGTATTGTTTGAAAATACTCTCATCAATACCAATATTATGTATGTCTAATGTCTTGAGATTAATAAGCTCTCCATTTGAAAAATATTTAAGGCCATCATGACCAATCTTGCAAGAAGATGCATTCAAATATGTGAGACTTTGCATTCCAAAGATGTTTTTCGCTCCTTCAGATCCGAATAAATCAGTAGTAACGTCCAAAGTGATGAATTCTATTTGGTGTAAATCAATAACTGAGAAAGCGGCTATCGAGCCATATCTAATAAACTTGAAGAGTGTTGATGAAAATCTTCCAAACTTGTCACTTTTTCTTGTGAGGTTGAGTGTTGAGTATATACTCTACCAACAGAAAGAAAAATGAGTAGGTTGTAATTTTAAACACCACAGCAATGATGCATTGGCACCCCAGTCAAGACATTCCTATATTTCATGTGTTGCAATGATGATGATGAAAATAAGGAAAATTATAAAAAAATATTTTGCTGTCTAATCAACGTATTGGAATCATTGGAGATCAGAAACGGAATTGCTTACTGTGAAATGAACAACACTACTATCTTACCCACTGATCCATTTGTAATTAATGATTTGAAAATGGTTGGACATGTCTCTGATTTGAATGAAAATGGTTGCTTTTGTCTCTATTGCATGTATTGTAAAGAACGTAGACGTTTCTGGATGAAAAACATACAACTCATACTCTTAAATATTGCATTGATCAAAAAGTGACAATTCATACCATTATTTGCGCCCTTCATATGAAACTTAGAATTGTTTCGAATTTGATTTCCCAAGTGCTTCTTCGTATTAACTCGCCTTCATTATGGGAAATAATTGAGACTAGAATTAGCAAGTTATATCATTGCTCTCAATTTCAATTTAGAAATACTGAGGCTGAAGAAGATGATGAATGCAAAGGAGATCAATTTCTTCCACAACTGCCATATTTAAATGGGAATCAAGCAAATGTCATCTTATTCAATTTTGAAACTGTGTTTGATGGAATTTTTGATTATATGGAAATCATGATTTGGTTGTTGACAAGAGTTATTTTGTTCCAATATGTTGAAGGAGTAGATACACTCAAAGGAAATGTGCAAGCTAAGAGTAGATTAGAAATATTATGTAAATGGCTTTGCAAATTGTTGATTGAGAAATATCCAACCTCAAAATTTGCTTTCTATTTTCATATTCTTATTGTTCAAATTCCTGAATTAATATTTCTATTCGTCCATTGTGGAGATATGCAAACGAAGGAAGTGAAAATATTCATGCTTATCATATTCTCGGATTAGAACGAGCTACTGCAGCAGGTAAAGAAAATTCTCCAATGGTACAATTAGTTTTCCAAGAGCTTGTAGAATCTATCTTTCAAATACACACAATATTCCATGACAAGCAAAACTTGTTGATGATGGTAGTGATGATGGAATGGTGTTTGAATGGTCCTCCGAAGAACAAAGAATTTATACTCTACTCATGAAGTTGGAGGTTGCTAAAGAGCGTCAAATTGGAAGCTGGAAAGGAATGTTGCACGAGTTAATAATGAAAGCAATACTCAGAACGCTCATCAAAGTTTTCAACGCCAAACAAGTCCCATTCAATGAAATGATTAAATCCGTCTCCGACCATGATAGATGTTGTTGCTATGGTGTGTACTATCACTAAATATTGTTCGATGATTCCATATTCAAGTACGTCTTTAATTCTGATTTGGACATAGGTTACTAGTATGTATGATGATTTGTGTTTTTTTGTTGGTTGACATGGGAGTTATCGGTCAACAGCGTCCGTTTGCCATCGAAAAAAATGTTTAATTTCTTCTTTCAACGGAAACCCACTCCGGCTAGAAACGTTGTTGCGGTTGATCCTTTTGGTGGAGCGCTTTCGCTCATAATTTCTTTCCTTGATCAAAAAACCTTTCTATCTTTTGCTGGCGTTTGTAGTTACATCCGTGATTTCATACAATCAACAGAGGTAACTAAAGCATTTGATTCTAACCTTAAGAATACAGATACAGATTGCTTGGCGATGAGACAACTCAATTTTAAAAAAGTTTCCTTCCACAAACTGTTCACCGAATTGTCCTTCACAAAAGTATCTGTTTCCAAAAATCAAATGGCGATCCTTTTAGCATCCAACAAAGTTGATACGCTAGTGTTTAAACATTCCCAATTAACATTCTCTGATATCACATCCACAATTTCCAATCTTGTTTTTGAAAGTGTTTCAATTAATGCCATTACTATTAACAAAATAGGAAATGTGTTCAACAACATTAAGCATTTGTCTTTTAAGCATGTCGGTTTTAATTGGAAATTGATGGAATCATTTTTAAAGTTGAAGTTTAAATGTTTAGAAAGTTTATATTTCAGAGACGATCAATTGGATACTGATTGTGCCAATATTTTTTTAATGAGTAGTAATTTTAAAACTCTAAAATCTATTGCATTTAAGCATTGCTCTATACAACACATATCCAAAATAGATAGAAACAACTTTCCACATTTAGAAAAGTTTAGCTTTACGACCGTTTTTATAGATGATGCTATTATTATAAACATTTTAGAAAGTCAGCTTGATCTTAAAGAGCTCTATGTAAACGCCCACATAACACTATCAGAAAAAATAGCTTTATCTTTATTGAAAAATCCTAAATTAAGTATTGTTAAATTGCATTCATATGCTCGTAGTGGTGCTACACGGATAAGTGATGATGTATTTCTTTTGTTGATGAGTGGGCTAAAATATTTAACTGAAATTTCCTTACAAATACCATCTCGCTTGATGCCTATTTTAACTGCAAATACCAATGTACGACTGATTAGAATTAATATGGTAGACATAGAAAAGGATCCGTCTCTGATTCAGTCGCCATTACTCAATTTTAGATTTCAGTCAATGCTTCAAGTATTAGATTTATCCCACTGTTTATTACGAGATTTAGATTGTGCTGCCATCAGTTCCTCTAATATCAAGGAACTAAGCATCATTTGTTGCAGTTTTGTTGACAATGGATATTCCAGCTTAGCGCATATGACTCAACTGAAAACCTTAGTTCTTTGTTACCCTAGACTCTTAGGATCCGCTTTCGATACTTTTTTCTGCGGGTCATTAATTTCACTGGAAAATTTTGAATTTTCTCCAAGTTCTAGAGAAACTAATTCGACCGAGGATTGTATTAACGTACCAAAATTGACATTTTTTAAATCCAGTCATCCCACTCGTTTTGATATTGAGAAAATTTTACGGAATTCCAGAATAGTTACTTTGGATCTTTCTGAATGGGGAGGCACTCTAAGTCGTTATGTTGATTTCGAATTCATACATCATCTACTAACAACCAACAAGCATTCCATTTCTCAACTAATATTACCTTCAAAGACCAAAGAAAAGAAAGACAAATATTTAACTCAATCATTGAAATTACAAAAACAGTTCAATATTCAAGTTTCATTTAAGTAAAAACACATGTTTCGATAATATAAACAACAAGAGTTTGGAATTAAAAATGCCTACAGGTTTAGCGGGGCGTTTTACCTTTGGAAGTGCATGTTTCTCTCCAGAGGCTTTTTTCATGATGATCTTTGATTTCTAGGTTACATACTATATCAACAAATAGGTATTTATGATATCTAGATGTACGTTTTGAAAATTTTAATATTTGTGAAGTAGTTGTTGAGATATTAAGGATCAAAATGAGCTTTCCCGGTCAGATCACGTCAAATGTGCCTCTCGACCAAAATATGTAAAATAATGATGCCATTTCTTGGACAGATATTAGGTTTTAGTCCATAGAATATAGAGAGAGTTGAATTTTTAGTAGCTACTAAGTAGTTATTGAATTACACTTTAATACTTCTCACCAGTCCGAGAGTTGTTATAACAAAGTAACCATTACGATTTAAGGATTACTGTTTTCACGTATTGATAGAGTCTGACATTTAGAACGTAATCCACATCTCTGTTGAGGAAACTATGATGTTTCGATAATGTAAACAACAAGAGTTTGGAATTAATTGGAGGAAAACTAATGGGTTTGTAACTCGCCAAACAACCATCCTTTGAAAAGGATTGGTGTTTGAGGGATTTTCTGCATAATTTGTCATTAGACTTTATTGAGCAGAGTCCCGAGCATTTGAAAAGGGGTGTAGAAGGTAAAAAACTCCAAAAACCGCTCAGCGGAAAAAAAGGAGAAAACCAGAGAAACGCAAGGAAGTAAGGAGGAAGTGATGAAGAAGAGATGGATTGTGATCAATTCATATTATCATAAATAAACCAGGTGTCAAAGGTGGTGACAATGTCACATTAATGTAAAATTAATAATACAATAAATTAAGGTTATAAAAATAAATATTCAACTACTTGTCGAAAAGATTCGAACAAGGCAGTCCCGCACTGTCATAATGTCCTTCCTTACCACAAGAACATTAAGGATCAGCGAAAAAGGAACTTGAAAAGCATAAGAAAGCATGATAAGGGTGGGAGTGCGATGGGTGGGAAGTCACTAAGCAAAGCAATGAGAGACGAAGCTCGAGTATGCAGGGTTTGGAAAGAGGCATTCGGCGATTTTCTCAATAACCAGACATAATCACACTATTTCTTCAAAAGAGACCCCCTAGTCGTTTGAGTTTATCTATCTTTTGATGGTATTCACTTGCTCTAACTCGTTGTGGTTCTTGAGATATGAACTCTTAAACTACAGGCGTTTTTCTTCATCGGTGATAGAGTGGTCAGAAAACCACCATCGTTGGGACATGAGATATTTGCATTCAGTGGTGACTATTGATCATTAAATATTTCAATTCTGTGAAGTAGTTATTGAGATTATAGACCTTAAAGTTGTGATAGTAATAAAACCTTAGTTGTAGATTTTTATTAGGGATTTTGAGATGGTTCAAGGACTAGCATCTTATTTCTCGGATTTAAGGAGATAGACCTTCCTAAAGTTTTAAAGATTCATGAATATTTTTGACTTTTAAAAATTTTTTAAAAATATTTTTAGCTTTCATGTCAATATCAGTCTCTGGTGTGACTATTTGAATAAATTAAATTGATATCGGCTCGAAGAGACAATGTCAATCAATGTTTCTGTTTGATATCATTACATCTCTATTGCAATAAATTATATTGTGATGGCCGTCAGTAGTACATTCGTACTAGCGACATCATTGGATAGTGAGCTAAGTTGGTTGAATAGTTCAACAAATGGTGACAGGTGTCAAAATGTCGATAGAGTTTAAGCAAAATCTTTTTTGTAGATCTCACGAAAATAATGGGGGTCATGATAGAGCATTCGATCAGGTTTAGGGTAGTTTTCGAGAAAATCAAGTTTGAAGGAGTTTCATCGAGTTCAAAAATGACATGAAAATTTTTCAAAAAAAAATTAAAAAAAAATGAAGCCAAACTTCCCTGCATTTTTGAGGTGATCATCATCAAGATCGGGTCTTGTTTCCATTCATCATCATGTCATATTTATATTGATCACATCAAATGTGTACATCATGATCAACATTCATCAGGAATATTTTGTGTGTATGAATACACATGGAAATGATAATTATCAAATAGTAGCGGTTAGAATTGTAGTGAACTGCTCCCGTTGGATATGATGATCATGGAATGAATCTGATGATCGGAATGTTGTTACAGTGATCAGAAACCATAGAATTGATCGTTGATTCAGTTCAAAGTGATGGTCATTTCGTGAATGGTATTCAAGTGAAGTGTGATGGTGGCTCTATGGTAGCGCTGAAAAGTACGATCGAGACAAGTACTTCACATAACTTCATGAAATTGATATGGATGGTTGTTCTGATCATTCAAACAACAAATCATCAGTTTTATTCATTGACATGATTGTTTCATTGAATAGGAGCACTTCGCTTTTCTCGGAAAACATCATTTCTTGAGGAAGGGTACAACTCTCCTCTCTTGTTCATGTCTGGGTTTGGGTTTGGGTTTGGGTTTGGGTTTGGGTTTGGGTTTGGGTTTGGGTTTGGGTTTGGGTTTGGGTTTGGGTTTGGGTTTGGGTTTGGGTTTGGGTTTGGGTTTGGGTTTGGGTTTGGGTTTGGTTTGGGTTTGGGTTTGGGTTTGGGTTTGGGTTTGGGTTTGGGTTTGGGTTTGGGTTGGGTTTGGGTTTGGGTTTGGGTTTGGGTTTGGGTTTGGGTTTGGGTTTGGGTTTGGGTTTGGGTTTGGGTTTGGGTTGGTTGGGTTTGGGTTTGGTTTGGGTTTGGGTTTGGGTTTGGGTTTGGGTTTGGGTTTGGGTTTGGGTTTGGGTTTGGGTTTGGGTTTG